TTTTTTTTTTTTTGTATGGCGCTTGCAGCCTGCCGCAGGTCATGATATCATCATAATATCATCATAATTGTTTTTTTTTGGCCCAGAACAACTTGCGAATGCCCCACACGGCCGACGAAAGCCATGCCACTTGAATTTTTTTTTTTCAATAAAATTAAAAATATATATTTTTATCGGAAAAAAAAATAAAAAAATATGGGCAGGTGCCCCTTGACATGGAGCACAAATGTGTGCAAAGAAAACACCCCCTACAAGCAAAAAAAAAAAAAAAAACGGAAACTCCGTGAACTCCAACCGGTCACAAAAAACATGATCGGTGGCTGGCCCGCGTTCACCAGGGCCGTGAACGGTGAACGGGGGTAACAAACTGGTCTAGAGGACATACAAATGGGCCAGTCAATGGGCGTTGATGATGATGCACCAGGCAGATAGGATGTCTCCGACCACGGGGGGAGGGGAAAACGATCCCGGGGGGTAAAGGAGCGAGTCCACGACTCCATGGTGATCCGGTATCCTTGGTTGGTGGTGGTCGCGATGCAGAGGTCGACAGCGGGGTCAGACATAGAGAGGAGGCGATCGGTACCCCTCATAGAGACAGACACCACGCGTCACGGAGTTTGGTTGTCCGCACGACCGTGGGCCCGGTGGTGCCACACGAGGCACCGTTTCCTATAGATCTGATGCATTGTGCAGGTGGTGTCGCGGCACTGTCGCCTCGATCGTAGAGCGACGTGTAGGCAGGGGCATGTGCGCGTCTCCGATCCCCCCTTTCGCACCATCTAGGAAGAGGACAAAGTCGAGTATGTGCCTCAGCCTCGCGGCACCCTTGCGTTCGGTTGTATCACCGTCGAGGAGTTGGAGGCGCACGACACGATGGATTACACCCGGATTGACACCAGCCGGTTAGACTTGTCTTTGGCGCCAGCCAGCCCGAGCTTACCATCTGGAGGTTCTACTGCAGCGCCCTCTTACGGGGGTGGAGGGCCGTTGTCACCCCCGTCCCCAGATGTCCAGCCTCGCGGTAGTCACGCCCCGAGGTCGGCTGCCCCCCGGCAAAGAGACACGAGCGACCATGGATGGGACACGATTTTGTTCGGTCGCACTGATCATCCGTGGAGCAAGACGAGACGGGTGACATCTGCGAGTGTGGTTCGTCAGTCGGGTTTGAGAGGGGTGTCCACGAGCGGGGGTCGTCGAGATGTTGTGGCGTCGGGGTTTGGCGACAGAGGCGGGGACAGTGGCGGTACTGGTGGCGGACGTGAGGGCACGTTGTCGCGCCGCCACCGTTCCAGGGCCTGGCTCAATATCCCTCCCCGGGCCGAGTACAGTGGGTTGGTGGACTGGCAGGGTGTCACGCAGGAATTTGGAACGTTTTAGGGAAATAAGAAATACGTTGATAAGTAGCCTTTGTCACACAATCGAGAAGTCAGGGTTATCACTCCTGCCAGCGGCGACACGACTTCAAGTGAGAGTGAGGCGTTCGGTTTTATCGCCTGCACCTGACCCCGTATAAAGGTTAGAATCAAGGTCACCGGAGTCCCTATTATCCAGGAGTCCTTCAAGTAGCCTTGAGTGTAACCTGCTAGGATGAGGAGTGATATATAACTAGTTACCTCATGCATAAACATTCCATGGATTATAGGACATGCATCATAAGTCAAATAACACTGAGAGGACGAAAAGACTAGAAACCAGACTCTGCAAGAGCATGACCAGAGACACGAGACTGAAGAGTAGTACATAGAGAATACAGGAAGCAGCCATAAAGGGGGGGCTGAAGTCACTGATAATCATAATAATGTCATAATACATCTCGGTGACTAGAAGATACGAGCCTTAGTCAATAATGACAAGTGGTACCCCCTCAAGAGTGGGCTCGACTGTCTGGAACTCCATATCTGGTACACGCTGGTCCTCCTCATCATTGAGAACCTGAGTGGCTATCGACTCCGGAACCACATAGCTGATGTCAAAAGATGTCGCACGATCGATCTTGCTGATATATGCCATACATCTCGCCATCTCCTCGTCCGCGACACTTTGGAGGTACAGCTCCTCGGCGAGGGAAATGCTGTCAGTGGCACCGATCAAGATCTCAATCCGTCCCTTGCCGTAGATGTAATCATAAGAAACCTCCAGAAAGAGGTCTCCATAGAGTGGCTTCTGAAAAGCCTGTATGACGAAGTCAACTTCCACCAAATGACTGTAGCCATCCCCAAGATATGAGACTGGTCCCTTCCCCCTTAAAGGGCCGACTACCTCCTCTGACCAAAGTCCTCCTGACATGTAATGCATGAATCAATCACCCTCAAGCAGGTATCGTGCCATAAGGTAAGCAACCCGTCGTAGGGCTGCCTTCCGCCTGCGTCTCACTTTGGTGACCAATGTCATGAGATGCCCTGGATCTGCTCCAACTCAAACGTGCTCAATCCCTGTGAGTATCCCAGTCGAAGTAATCCCCCAGGTCAACGTCGCTCACGCAGCAAGGCTCTTGGTCTGACTCGTCTGTCTCTTACCTCTGTAAGCAGGTGGTGATAGGTATCCCGGATCTGGCCACCTCGCTCCTAATCCTCCTGTTCTGACGGCTATTTTCCTTGCTGCCACCTCT